CGCCTGCCAACTGCGCGCGCCTCCCGTCTCCTCGATACTCCTGTATTCCCCTATCGAATCTCCGATATCATCTACGCATTTCAATTTTTTACATATTAATCGTTCTTAAAATTCGTTAATGCTACTTTTTCGGCAAGTCCTGCTTCAAAGAAATATCCTGTCAAAGGCACGACCGCGTTCGGCTGAATCGGTCGAACGGAAACGGCTAGAGAAGCGACTCTCGTTTCTAGAACCTTCTTAGAATTCGATAGTTATTTCTCGAGATTTTTCGACCGATTGAAGCGATTACTTGAAAATGCAATTGCACTGAACATATTTTCCTAAGCAATTTTCGATCTAGTCTCTTTCAGCTTGTTCCTATTCACGAAAACGATATGACGCATCGATGCGTAGAACCGAGATAAAACAATCGTTTCTAGGAAAGTCTGCCATGTCGAATGTTCAGAGCGACGGAACGATAGAAATTTCCGTTGGAACGGACATCCTTTCAGGGAAACCATACAGTTTCAAGGGAATACGCATGAACGAAGTCTTATCCATATGTTACGTTTGACTTTCGACTATATCATTTCGCAATAGTAGCTCAGTGGAATGTTTCGCTTCGCGTTCTTTGGCACGAGTTGCCGACCGAGTATTTATTTTTGCGCGGTCACGAGTCGAAACGTCTCTCGTTTTATTTTAAGATCACGCTCGATAACGTAGCTCCGCGAGTTTTTACTTCGTCTGTCGCTTTGAAAGCACATTCAATTTCAGTCGCGTTATCGACTCGTATTTTCCAACAAAATCGATTAGGAAGTTAAGTAGGATAATTTAGGGTAACAGTAGAAAGAAGTACAAATTTTTATACAAAATTAGTTCTTTAATAATAAGTCCGTACGTTAAAATTAATGTTCGATATTTATAGCTACAAATTACAGTGGATAATTGAGTAATACATCTTGTCTAGCTAATTCCAATAACATAGGATCGTCGAAGAATTTATTGATAGACACATCCTCGGACAGGCCCTTCCGTCTTCGTGTTTTCAGCATAAATTCCCTAGCTAAATGAGTGGCTGGCTGCGGCTCGAGTGGTCGTATAGTTATGCTTTTATCCAAAGGATCGCCAGGTACAATCTGCCAATGGTGAAACACGGACAGACAGAACGCCTGGCCTTGCGTGTGCGTCCGTAAGTCGGTCTCAAAGCCGAAGCTATCGATCGCCGGTATGAAAGCCTTGATGGTGTACAAGGGACTTCCGGGAACGGGAGCGTCTTGGGTCACGTGACCTCTTCTTTTAGCCAGTACCGTATAAACGGCCGACACGCAATCGGCGGGGGCTTGGACTTCGACGAATAAATAAGGTTCCATCAATCTGGGTGTTGCCATGAGGAAAGCGGAGTACGCTACCCTCCTGGCAGTTGGAATTATTTGACCACCTGTGATAGAGAAGAGCAAAATTAATCTAGAAATTTTTCAGACTTTTGCGATACTTTTATTAGGATCTTATAGTTCCTATCTTAAAAAATTCCTACTTTATGCCTTCAAATTTCTAATTCGTTTCTAACTAATTTATTAAAACTCGTAAACTACATTTTGGAAAAATGACAGTGAATGATGAGTCAAATTTTAGTTATGTATAGAAACGAAGATTATATACCTCCTCGATGAAGTGGTTCCTGAGCAATCACGGCATCCAGGATTTTGAATTTCACGTTTCTAATCGGTTCCTCGCAAAGTGGACCCTCTCGTGTACCCCACTGAAATCCTTGAATGATGGCGTCACGAGCACTGTTCAGTAATGTCTTGTCCACTTCCGATGGCAACGTGTCGTCGACCAGAATGTTGGGTCCAGTGGCATCTGGTCCAAACGCCCATATACTTCGAGCGGCCAGCAAATCCCAGTCGTACTTTGTTTGGAAGAACTCTCCTAACCGCTTCCTGTGTAATGAAATTTGTTTTGTTGCGGATATCGATTGCATCGTACAAACTGTCTACTTACTTATTCCACGTAATTCGAACATGTTCTGCCTCTATATCTTCGGCAAGACCTCTTTCGAGAGGCTCGGCAATCATGGTTAACTTGTTTCGTTTATTTGGCGTTTCGGCGAAACATTTAAGGGAACTTGTCTCTACAACTGTTTCTGCGAAAGCCACCACAGGATCTGCCACTTTTATATCGATCTCGGAGTACATGCGACGTAAATCGTGCATCGCACAGTCCAAGTACAATTCACCCGTTCCTAAGACCACGTGTTCTCCACTCTCTTCGACCCTGGTGCCCAACAAAGGATAACTTTTGTTCACCTTTCTCAGACCATCTAACATTTTTGGCAACTCTGATGGATTAACAGGTTCGACCGCTATTTTGATTACGCTCTGTGTGTTAAATTTCAATGGTCGGAAAATGTGTAGATCGTCCGAATTTTTAAGATCGGTAATCGTGCTGGTTTTCACGATAGGTCTATCGATGCCCTCGATAAGTACCCAATTGCCCGCAGGTACTCTGTTCAATTCGATCGAATAGCGCGCCTCACTGATCCATAGCCTTCCTACTGTAAGAACGCGAGAATCCTCTTCGTCCGTACGCGAGTACGCTTCACCCAACACACGGACACGTTGTCCTGCCTCGAGAGTTCCGGACATGACTCTTCCTAGAACTACGAACAGCGTGCAGTCCTCCGTGGGATACATTTTTGTACTGTGTATCATCAATCTTCCCTGTAAATGCGATTTAGCTTGTTCAATGAAATACGAGAGATTTAAGTTTAAACGATGTGCGTAACTTGAATGTACTAACATCAGGATCGCAATTAATCATATCCTGCGCTAAAGGCGAATCCATTGGTCCCGTGTATACGTGTTGAACTTTGACCGGTGCATGCGACTGAGGACTGGGAACATGAGCTACACACATGTCTACTAATCCACACATATCGCCCAAGAAACGTGTACACACCAGCCTCAACAGAGGTCTTATGTTCATTTTCATTTCCTCGGATGTTAATCTTATGCCCAGTTCATCCAACACTGAAAGTAAGTTACATGATAGATAAATGTACCTCGAAGAATTTATAACAAGCTTACTAACCATCGGGTAACGTCGTGTCGACATCACCGACCACTTGTGCGAATATTTTGTACAAGGGTTCGAGAATGAACTCGATGAAACTGCGCTGAGCAGTATTATGCGGTGGTTTTTTCGTAAATTTTCGTGTTTTCGAGTTAAAATATATGTCGCCCCATAGTCTTTTCGCGAACTCGTTGGCGTTAAGAGTGAGATGTGTCTTGGCGTAAAGTGCCGCGAAAGATTTGAGGGTAAAACAGACATTGTATTCGGAACTCGCGAAACATACGTTTCCGATCGCTGGTGAGACAAAAGACGGATTCTCTGAGTCCGAGTATAGTGCTATAAGTCCATTGATCTCTTCGATGATATGTCTCAGTTTGTAATATGCATCGAGCGGAGGCAACTTCAGTTCTAGAATGAGACGATCTATCTTGTTTATGCACACCGTTAACGCTAGTTTCTCTTGGAGCGCGTGTTTTAGCAGACGTTCCGTGTTTAACATGACACCTTCAGCAGCATCGACAATTAGTACCGCTCCGTCGGATAAACGTATAGCTGCTGTAGCTTCGTCTGAAAAGTTCACATGACCCGGGGTATCGAATATATTTAAGAGATAGGATTTTGATTTCACGTCTTGAAGTAGTAGGGTCACGGGTGTGGCCTTTGTCGATACACCTCGCTGTTGCTCCGTAAATAGAGTATCTGTATATCTAAAAAATAATAAGTTTTACAGCAAATGTTGATATAAAGTATTTTGGGTGTCTGTAACTTGTCATTATACCTCAATGGCTTTTCATCTGTTACACTGTGTAAGTAGGGATGTGTTTGCCTCACTAAACAATCAACCAAAGTGGTTTTACCATGATGCAAGTGACCAAGTAAAACAACATTCCTTATAAGATGAGGTGCATCCATCATATCTGCTAAAAATTCAATACTGTATGTTGTTTCTGGAAGTTGCTGCTGTTTTATTTGAAATTTTGGTCTTCTGGTTGGAGCAATCAATGGTTTATCTAATGGTTGCGCGTCTTCTTCTTGTACTAAAGTTTCTACCTACAATGTATTATAAATATGTAATTTATAATGAGCAAATAAACAGCAATAAAATTTCTAGTAGAGTGGTTTACCTCTGGTCCATAAACTTCTAAAGCACTGGGATAATATCTTTTATCTTCGTGAAGTACCACTGCCATAGAATTTCCTTGCTCCAGTTGTTCTCTAGATTCATCCTTATCTTCTTCCATCTCCTCATCTGAACGTTCTCTGTCATCCGCGTCATCGCCAGCATTTCCATATTCGTTTTCATCTTCACTATCAGAAGCTAAATCGGGGCCTATATAGTTACCAAATTCATCATATAGATCTGCATCCATGGTGGTTGTGTCCTTTACTTAAATAACGTCTGCAAAATAATTAGAATTGGGCCATTTATTTAACACAAATCATTTATACTTTACATATAATGAACTTGTTGTAATAACAGGTTACAATCACGATTGTTTACAACTGGTTCAGAATCTAAACATAACCTCAAACCGATAAGTGACCGGTTATATTACAAGTTTACACAAAAGTTAACAGGTACTAATTCTTTTTATTCGTATGAACATGGTAGCTATAAAAGAGGCGTTCTGCCTCTTATCAAACTGGTACTGCCTAAACGATAATAATTATGTGGTTAATAAATATAAACAAATATGTATATTTGAAATTGGTTATGGCTGTAAATTTACATTAAACCAGAGAACTTAAATCAACGTCATAAAATAAAACATGAATATGTGTCTAAATAAATTTTAATTATTACATTGTATATACAAATAGAAAATGTCACTGTTATTTTCGATCAATTACACGTGTCTATTCCCGTTTACATTTACACACAATCACGCCATTTTGTATAGAATGAAGTAGAATACGATAGAATCAAATGATTTTGCCAATATAAGGCATGTAGATTTTGACAAGTATTTTTATTGCATGTAATTACAGTAACAAAATATCGTTAAAGAATATGGAATACTCGGATAAAATCTGTACTTATAAGAGTAGAAATAATTAATAAATTAGGGTCATCTGTTCATAAAATAATTTTTAAAATATAAAATTTGTTGGCATCACTGCTGCTCATGTGATAATTACAATATGTGCCGCTAGAGTAGTCGCATTTTCGCGCATGGTCATAAAAGATTACAAGACCTATTGTATACGATACTAACGTCGGAAGCTTACACAAACATACTTTTTATATAGATACGAATGTTGCGCACAGTGGTCCGGACTGACAGCTGGAAGAACGCGAAACAGCAGTGGCAGAACATGTAAGGTAAGTATTCTTTATTGTACCGAAGAATACGTTGATCCAATCGAGTAAAATTATCACTGTACAAGCTGCCAAGCCCCGGTCAAACGTCAGTGGCTTATCTTCTAATTTTGGCCTATTAAGTGTAATTGACACACCCGTTACATCTCGATGTCGCGCATTAGATATTTTATTCTAAAATTTATGTAAATAATATCATTACATCAGAAGATGTAAATCATTTAAAATCTGTGACACGAGTTTTATTAATCTAGTTGAATATTAACTTTTTCAGGGTACCTTGGATAACTAGTGAAATTTGACAATTAACAAGCAGACACGCTGCTAACGATACATTAAAAGAGTTGACAGGATAGGCAGACAAAGACAGAGCAGCGGGGGAGGGGGTAGGAGAACAAGAGGCGGTATGACACGACCTCCTAATAATGACAACCTTATGACCTTCAAGTTGGTCGTAGTTGGAGATGGAGGAGTTGGAAAGAGCGCGCTTACCATACAGTTCTTTCAAAAATTATTCGTTACCGATTATGATCCTACCATCGAAGACAGTTACATTCAGCATACAGAGGTAGACAAGCAATGGTGCATTTTGGATGGTAAGTAACATCAGAATCTGTTTGCTCTTTCCATTGGATACATAGCATTATGCTGACAGTTAATTTTGGATTATATATACCACATAATATTAAACATGCCACATATTTTATCTACACAAAGGTTTATTTGTACCTAACAGTGTTAGATACAGCTGGTCAAGAAGAGTTCAGTGCCATGCGCGAACAATACATGCGCAAGGGTGATGGGTTTCTCTTAGTATACTCTGTGACCGACAAACAATCTTATGAGAATATCATGAATTTTTATACCCAGATACTTAGGGTAAAGGACAGAGACGTATATCCCATGCTGCTGGTAGCCAACAAAGTTGATTTGGTACATTTGAGAAAGGTTACAGAGGAACAGGGAAGGGAGTTGGCTCACCGGCTGGGTATACCTTACATTGAAACTTCTGCCAAAGATCCACCGTTAAACGTAGATGCAGCATTCCACGAGGTAGGGAATAGAGCTAGAAAGAAAATAAGATAATGATTCTTGTTCGGTGTCACGTGAATTTGAATAGATAAGAAGATTAAATAATTTTGCTCCAGGTTGTTCGTATTATCAGAAATCAACCTCCAGCCGAATTGGAGAAAAATCGAAGAAAACGGAGACGTTCAGGGAAATGTAATCTTTTATAAATGTTCGAAATATCGAATAAGTATTACGGGGTTGCGCCAAGTTTACACACTACCTTTTTAAAGGGTCACTTTTCTTTTCTTACAAAAGTGAAATGCACCTGCCAAAAGAAAAAACATCCAAACAAACAAAAAAATAAAAATCGTGGGTCTTCTGTCCTTCATCGTATATATGTAGGTATCGATTATAGCTCGTGAATGTTTTCTTTCCTTTCGTCGATTCCACGTATGAGTTTTAGTATTAATAAGCGTCGAACAATTGATATCCCACCATTGTAAAATAAGTGTACAAAATAGGAACGATAAGAGATGCATCAGTCGAAAGGAAACGTTAACTATCTCCCAAAAGTGCAACTAGATTTTTTACAAATGGTCGATCCGCATCAGTTTAATGTTCACGAACTAAGATCCCTCTGGATACATAGCATTATGCTGACAGTTAATTTTGGATTATATATACCACATAATATTAAACATGCCACATATTTTATCTACACAAAGGTTTATTTGTACCTAACAGTGTTAGATACAGCTGGTCAAGAAGAGTTCAGTGCCATGCGCGAACAATACATGCGCAAGGGTGATGGGTTTCTCTTAGTATACTCTGTGACCGACAAACAATCTTATGAGAATATCATGAATTTTTATACCCAGATACTTAGGGTAAAGGACAGAGACGTATATCCCATGCTGCTGGTAGCCAACAAAGTTGATTTGGTACATTTGAGAAAGGTTACAGAGGAACAGGGAAGGGAGTTGGCTCACCGGCTGGGTATACCTTACATTGAAACTTCTGCCAAAGATCCACCGTTAAACGTAGATGCAGCATTCCACGAGGTAGGGAATAGAGCTAGAAAGAAAATAAGATAATGATTCTTGTTCGGTGTCACGTGAATTTGAATAGATAAGAAGATTAAATAATTTTGCTCCAGGTTGTTCGTATTATCAGAAATCAACCTCCAGCCGAATTGGAGAAAAATCGAAGAAAACGGAGACGTTCAGGGAAATGTAATCTTTTATAAATGTTCGAAATATCGAATAAGTATTACGGGGTTGCGCCAAGTTTACACACTACCTTTTTAAAGGGTCACTTTTCTTTTCTTACAAAAGTGAAATGCACCTGCCAAAAGAAAAAACATCCAAACAAACAAAAAAATAAAAATCGTGGGTCTTCTGTCCTTCATCGTATATATGTAGGTATCGATTATAGCTCGTGAATGTTTTCTTTCCTTTCGTCGATTCCACGTATGAGTTTTAGTATTAATAAGCGTCGAACAATTGATATCCCACCATTGTAAAATAAGTGTACAAAATAGGAACGATAAGAGATGCATCAGTCGAAAGGAAACGTTAACTATCTCCCAAAAGTGCAACTAGATTTTTTACAAATGGTCGATCCGCATCAGTTTAATGTTCACGAACTAAGATCCCTCTCCCCCCGCCCCAAAAAAGAAAAAAAAAACATAAAAAAAAAACGAAAAAAGACAAATTTATCGGATATATTGAGTGTTCATCTACTCGATAATACGAGACCACGTCTCAGTACGCGCGTACACATCAATTTTTGTACCATCGGAAGAATACACTATGGAATTGAGCGTTTTTATTGCACAATGCATTCTATAGAAATCTTTTTTACTTCTTCGCGTAAGATCCTGTCATGAAATGACTATAATGGTTTTCGTATATCTTTTCAGCTTCTTTTTTGAAACAGCTGTTAAACGTTATAGCTTCAAGCGACTTTCTTTACTTTCGATTATAATATCATAATATAATCATTAGTTCTTCGAATCACTAAGACTACCAAATTCGATCGTTTCTTTTCCTTTTTATATTTCCTGGACGAATTCGTTTAAAGTTTTTATAACGCGTGTACAATTTATCGCATAATTTTATATTGAATTTTTAATCATCGTCTCTTTGTAGCGATGTAAACGATACTCGACTATTTAGTAATCTAAATTGACAACGAGTCTCTCTTTCGTCGGCGGAAACGTGTATTAGGTGTTCGTAGCCTAACGAGTAACTAATATTTTGAATCAGGAACGAAGCATTCAATGTGTAAGGGAATATTATGCCTTACGGCTTTATTATTGGCTTTCGTATACAACAGAGGTCTGATGTAAAACATCTATCGTGTTCGAATGTTCAAAGAAACGAAATATGAATTTTAGACATAGCGAAAGCCGAATGATTAGTGCATTATTAGATAATTTTATTTAAACACAGTGCAATGTTTTTTTCATTATATTTTATCGATTATTTAAACTTTATGCGTTTTGCATTCGATCAAGTACAATTCCGCAAAACTTTGATTATGTCAGACCTTCTTAATACACACATATATATATTATATATACATTAAGAATATAATGCCATGGCCTACATTAGTATTTAAACGTGAAAGGAAAAAATACGTACATTTAAGGGGCGCTCCATTACGAGTACGAACGAGTGAATGAAAATTAATGTTATATGTGACCGGAGATAACCGAGTATTTTTCGTGCTTGTAAATGCATCGAACGTTGTAAACAGTTTGTCGTACACGATGTTCGTCTTGCATCTTCTAAATACTCTGTACGAAATACGTAAGCTAAAAATTTATCAGTCAGAGGACAGTTACGAAATATTCTCTGTTATCAATCGATGTAATGATCGTATCGAGTGTTTTATTTGGACTTTTCTCCTCTGTGCTCGTCAATTTTATTTAAAAAACACGAGATAAATCTCGCACGACGCGATTAAGCGTTGCATTTGGTTGCGTTTTAAAAGACTTACATAAAACTGATAAGTTTCCAATTTACTTAATGATAGCATATTGCGTTTGAAAGTTCCCTGTACAAATTGTTTTATAATAGTTCAATACCGGGGATTCACGCCATTTCTTTTTATTAAAATCGCGTCATGCGAGGATTATTGGTGTTTTAATTTTTCGCTATAGAATCGTAGTGCACGAAGAATGTACATAAATGCAAGAGGACGACAGACACAGTTCATTAGAAAGATTCTGTTTGAAGGTCTTTAGAAAGTTGTTTTTTACAATACGAAGAATTCTGTGTAACGTTATCAATTACGAACTTTGGAAGTTCGATCTTGACTTTGTTTATCAGAATTCGATTATGGTGTCAAATGGTTCGAGTATACGCACGAAGTGCTCCTCCTGTTTGCATAGAAAACCGATCACACGAATATTTTGTGGTTTCACGTACGTGTAAGATGTGCACAAACGTCCCGGCGCCACCGTTTAATTCTAACAAAAATGAAACATATTTGCCTTGAGATAAAAGTAATCCGTATTATAAAACGTCGAAGGTTAACAAATGGAATCCAGGTAGTTGCCGTATCTTAGAAAATTTGCTTGCGATATCGTTTGATACAGCGAAAAGAAAGAAACGTTATCGTATTTTGTAACCGGTGAAACATTAAACGAATCAAGTTTGATAGCAGCCTTCGTTATAAACATTGTATGTACATAGTAATTTTTTTCCAAGCGCAACGAAGTATTACGAAAAATGTTACGGAGAAATACGGTATATCTTGCTCCTTTTATTTGCCAAACGAGAGAGCATTATTTCGAGAAAGTGCTCAATGCGTAGCTTCGAAATAGCAGCTTACGTCACGCACGAAAAAAACAATTGTACAAATTTTATCGAAACGTTTGAACGACGTAGACAAATTGTGCGATTATATTATTTGGCGCGAAATTTGCAAGTTACGCGACAGAATTTATATTATTATGTCCACGAAATTTATCGAATCCGTGGGCTGCCGATTTCATTTCGATATTACGTGTAACTGTCTACGGGTTACACGCGTATTTATTATCGTACGATGAAACAAATCGCTGCTTCGTTTCAAGCCTTCAAATACGCGCAGTCTTGTCGCAGAAATAATGAGACTGAGTCCTAAATTCGTACATGAAAAATAATATGAAGGAAAGCTGAATTAATCGAAATGTATTGGAAGTTTTAATCGAACACATTTGAAAGAGAAACGTTAAAAATAAATCAGTTTCATTGCTTTTGAGACAGATCGCGTATTAGTAGATATTATGTCGCAAATTACGTGGACCATCATCGACAATTTCTATATAACGATCATGGTATCGTGAAAGATCACGTAGACCCGGTTAAATTTAATCTTACAACGTCCCCGTGTTTCGAACGTTCAATACCGTTATTCGTTTCATGAAAATTCTCTTTTATACACGAAATTAAATTATGAGAAACAAATATGTCCGCCGCAAATCCAGATTGAAAGAGATTAATGCAGTTATTATTTCGTTTCGTGGAAATCGCTTTTCGCATATAAAATTACATTGATGAGAGCAAAAATTTCCGACGCTAGTCCAAATTGAAAAAGATTAAAGCAGTGGTTAATAATAAATAACATAAGAAGACGAAACGAAATGAAAAGAAAGATGTGCATAACGTGTGCATTATTGCAGACAGTTTTTTAGTCATTAAGGATTTAGCGTTCCTCGCATGTAATAATCTGTAACAAAAGCGTTACGTTTTTTAATCGCCGTCCATAAGAAAAAATCGTAAGGGAGAACAAAGGAAAACTCACAAAGCTCACCTGTGCTTTGCAACAAACGACATTTAGATACGACCATAAAATATCGCGTATTAAAGCAGAACTTCAATGTTGAATAAAACGAGCATCCCGCTACTCGTGGTGTCAAACTCGTAGAAAATTAAATGAAACGAAAAGGAAGAAGAAAAAACAAGAGATTATCTGTAAAATAGTCAATACATTGAATCATTGTGATAACAAGTACGAGAAGATGCAATGTAGCGAATGCTGTGATTGTGCGAGTTATCGAAGTCAGTTCTAGCATACAGTTGTGTAATCGGTGGTACAAACTGAACGATTCTGTTGTACCATCGATTATACATCTTACGGATATTTTGGGAATATATGGATACGGGAGAAAGCTCGTTACGCGAGTGACCAATGTTTAGTCCGCTGATTATAATAAAACCGTTATCCATCGGAAAAGGTGCAAAGCGGAATTCGGAAGCTTCTGACTTCGTTCTCGTTTCCTTCTCGGTATTTGCTAGTTACTACACGTATATATCGCACATCGGTATAGTTAATTATCATAATTCCTTAGGGAAGGGAATAAAAAATAAATCATCTGATGACGCACAGGAAACAATGAACTACGCGGTAAAATAAGAGAGTAATAGAGTTTGTAAGCTGGATTACGACCGTTTCCATCGTTCTTGTCCTATACATATATAGATAGTTACGAACGAAGAAACAAAAAAAATATATATTTTGGAAAAAAAACACACACGAAGATTCCTTCACAATGATAGTTATGTACGAGAACCGACTAATAAACACATACTTCATACATGTAATTATAAAAAAAAAATCGATGTGTGTATGTTACATACGCACACGTATAAGTGTACACGATATGGGTGTGTGTATATTTTTTTCGTTGAAAGTGTGTATGCGTGTGTGCGACGCGAGCGTGTCACTAATTGTGCAGGTCACTGTATAAAGTACACGATTGATAATAAATTATGAACACGTGTTTACAAAAAAAAAGGAAAAATCCCCAATTAAAAGTGTAAGAAAAATCAGATCGAATTCAAGCGATATCCTTATCCATGAAGTTCCTGCACGTCTTTTTTTTTTGAAATACATACCCGGAAGCCTTCATTGAGTTATCGTGAAAGCGCGAAGAGTAGAACGATTCAAGAAGATTGGAGTCAGAGGAGATAGGGAAGCAATTCATAGGGAATCATCGACTGCGAGCTCGAACGAACGGGTCGAGCGTTGAAAAGAAAGTTTAATTACGCGAATAGAAGCGTCGATTCTACAATACAATTGGCAATTGGCCCCGTTGGAATTATCCGAAACTCACACCGTTTTATCTCCACCGGTTTAAGAGGAGTTAATGCCTGGAATCGTCCCGTGCTCTCCGGCTTCAAGTTTCGCTTTCCAAACGACCTAGTCGTCTCCACCTATTAAACGCTTTCAAAAACACCCGTCGTCGTTGGATTGCTTTAATTATCGTTGATTACATCGTTTTAATCCGTACTCTCCGCACCTAGGCTCGTTAACTTTTACGCTTTAACCATAATATTCTGACTCCGACTACGGCTTTGCGTTTATCTCTTAGCATAACACACGCGTATGTACATATCCGCGCTTAGCCATCGCGTATAGACAGTTCATAATTGTTGACACGTTATTTTACTTTAAATATGCAGGATGAGTTAGTTAAAATAAAATGGTTACATTCTTTCCATTTTCAAAGAATTTTTATTTTTATCTTACTTATCTTTATTTTGAAAGTAACAATTCTGTTCTCGAGTAACTAATTAAAACTTGTACAAACTTTCCAGTGACTTACGAAACGTGTTTGAATGGGAATACTGTACGTTATTTGTGCACGGACAGTAAAAGGATTAGTATCTACGAGCTGCTCATTATAGGAAGACGTTTCCAACAGATCAAAGGATGCGCATCGAGTGTTCTCCACTTGCGAGACAGAAGAAAAAGAAAAAAGGCATTTGACCGTCAAACGAGCAACGCTTTGCGGTTGGGCCACTGCAATTGATTAATAAACGCCTCGGTTAAACAAAAGTATCCCGCTGAGCGTTCACTGTGGGTTGTTAAGCTAGCTGGATGGGTCGCGTGCGACTAACTACGTACTCGACGCCATTGTTGTGGGGGTAGAATTCACGGTTCGATAAGTTCGCGGAAGATAAAATTGGACTGATAGTTACATCGGACTTGTCCCTTCGGTTCGGGACACGCGGATACTTTGTATAGCATTACAGGAAAGAGGATCGAAAGCGGTGGTATCTTTTCTTCCACGTGGAACAACCTGCTGGATCTCGGTCGGATCCTTATCCGACCCATAGATCTCTTTCTTAAGTCCGGAAGGCGTCGGAGCTGTTCTCGAGATCAAATCTTTCCGCGGTAGACGGGAAGCTATCGGGTATCGATCGTCGTATAAAACTGCCGGCAGACGCGTTTACGGTATGTATGTATCGTTGAATTTCCTTGTGTCAACCGTTCAACGACCCTCTGCTTTTCTCTGTTTAGGCTGTTCCGGGGATTCTCGAGCGTTTCGTGCCAGAAACGAGCGTGCTCTCGCAAACCCTAGACGCGATTGTTCCAGGGAAAGACGCGGAGAGACAACGAAAGACTTTCAAAGCAAGGGGACTTTACTTTGGTTCTTTGCATTCTTATTGGATCAGGAACGGAGAGTACCCGAAGAAGCATCTTATCGCGCGACATCGTTGCGTTAACAAACCTATTCTTCGACAAACGATAACGCTTTATCATAGGATCTTTTGTTTCCGATAAACAGATTCCCTCTTGTAGTGCGTCCGCAGTGTATACCGATCGGTTCACTCCCACGCCCGTAGCCACAGGATGGCGCATAATACCGAGACCGGCTTTCTCGCTAGTGCTTTCCGATTTATAGAAATAGTTCCTGTCCATCCTCATTATATATCCTTGCGTCTAAGGTACGGACCTGCTAGAATGCCTGCTAGAACGATACCGATCATTCGCGATACGGCGATCGAATTTTTGATTACTCCACTGATAAAGTAAATAAAAACTGTGGAATAAATCGTTTGTACAGATAGCTTCGTTTCGAAGAAAAACGACTTCGAAAATAAGTTCGTTAGAGTACGCTGTTAAAACTTCCAGTCGTATCTCCGATCTAAAGTGTAATTTAACGCGAGTAAGATAAGTCGTTCTCGAAAACGAAGCTATCTATAAAGGATATTTATCCTGCGATTTCGTGTAAAATGGTTCGCTACACTTATCGAAGAAAAGTTAAAAAGGAACACGTGCACGATCGCGAATCGGAGCAGCGAATCGATCATTCGGCGGAAAGGAAACGTCGGATTTGGTATCGATGATACGTCGTCTCGTTAGCTTATCGACGAGGTCGGCGCGGGCGGCTAGAAAAAACGAGACATAGCGCAAGGATGAACCGAGCGCAAAAGCGGAGTCGGCTCGTTTGTTTACCGGCGGAACGTCGCTAAAGGAATAGGACAGGTCTCGAGACGAGGCGAGCGAAGAAAGAAACGAAAGAAGAAGAAAAAGAGTAAAAAGAGGAAGAAGAACAACAACAACAACGAGGTCCCAAGGCTCGTCGAATGGTTGAATCGGCAGGGAGCGTAGGTATAGGTCTAGGAAGCGAGGGAGCGGAGTGGCT